CCGCGGTAAAGTGGGCCGGCTTTCCGGAGTCAGCGGTAAAGAGGTCCGCACATTAAAAGCGGGCGGCCGCTTTCTGCTGTTACTTTATGCGGTTCATCCCCGCGGCTTCTCTTTCCAAAGTTACTGTCAGTAAAGGCATAAACCAGCCACCCGCTTTTAATGTGCGGACCTCTTTACCTTTGACTCCGAAAAGTCGGGCCTCTTTAACGCGCTGTTCTACCGCTGCCCTCTCTCCCTCCTCTGCCCTCTCTCCCTCTCTTCGCACCATCAGCCTGACCCCTGATACAAGTGACTTTTCTCCCCCTCCGGGTTTTTCTGTTGTGGATATTAACCACGTTTCATTTTAAAGCAGGTATTATTTATTTGTAGCCTCCAAACACCTTTAGTTTTAGCAAACAACAGCAGGACACGCTTTGTCGCTGCGCATGATGTGAGCTGTGTTACGTGATGATTTTGATTGACGCTGCAATGACTGGGACAAAATTACTAACGTTATTAAAATATATTTTATATATTTATAAAATATATATAATAATATATATAAATGCTAAATAAATATTTAAGGGCTTTATATTTGCTCAAAAAAAAAATCTTTTTTTTTTTTTGAGCAAAAAAAGTCTTTTTTGTGTGGAAATCATCTTGCAACCCCCCCAGGGGTTCCCGCGACCCCCCGGGGGGTCGGGACCCCCACTTTGGGAACCACTAAGTCAGAAAGGAACTTTTGAGAAGAAGTGTTTTTATTAAAAAATAAGAAGTAAAAATAAGTAATAAAGTAAAATACAATTGTATTGTTACAGTACTTACAATACAGTAAGTTAGTACAGTGTTTTACAGAGTCAATCCTTTAAACTTTAGCATTCAGTAGCGACACTTTTAAACATAAAACACATTCTCACGATATTGCTAATACAAATTTATGATGGGGGGAAAACTTTCTTTCTCTGTGTTTTACAAATATAATGGAGTTGGCTGAAGAATGTCTGCTTAGTTTCTGAACTGTATTGAACTAGATTGACCAGGGCTCGAGTCTACAGGAATGTCGAAAATCCAGTTCATCTTCACATATGCAAAACATCTTCACATAGCCTATCACTCAGGCGAGCAAAAACCGAGCACGTTTTCTCCAGTGTTAAATAAAAAATACTTAGTAATTAGGCCAACACATTTAAAATAGTTTCTAGACTGTAGTAAACTGTTGTAAACTTCACAATCTGCACCAACCAAACTGCAGGAAAAAAAATGCAACTTTATTCAGTAACGGAGTAATCTGATTCATATACTCCCCCCGCTAATAAAATTTGAGGATTGGCCGGGGCTCGAACCCCGATCGTCCAAGCGAAAGTCTTGGACAATCCCGCTACACCACACAGGCACTGGAGAAAACCCAGGATCTAATACGAAAGAGCGCTGAGTAAATGAGCCGTGCGGATGTGCGGGACGCTTAAAATGCCTTATATGCAAGTTAATGCAAATGTTTGCCATATGATCTGCTACTCCTGTGTATTTTAGAATTCCTAATTAATGGTAGCTATATGTAACATGTGTAGTTTAATTTTTTGTAATTATACACAGCCTATATATTGCTAATCAACGTAAAAGTATTCAGAATACAGTGTACACTCGTGTACATAACATCATAACTCAATACTTCAAAAACTCATAAACTTGGTACTTCACTCGGTACTTCAAAAACTCAGAAAACTCATAAAACATGTTCAGATCTTTCATAAAACTTGTCAACAATCTTCAGTAAAATACCCAACTTCATCAGTCGATGGTGGTTACAGATATTGCTTTGAAAACAGTCTCTCCCACTTCTTTGTTTTGATTCTTCAGGCTGCATTTGTGTCGAGCCATGATTCTTCTGTGACGTGTCGTTCAATCACACGTTTCAGCTTCAGTGTCCAGATTCAGAAATCCAAATCAGTCCAAATCATGTCCAAATTGTGTAATCCAATTGTTCCAAATGATGTCCATGCAAAAGAGGACGCTGGTATTGTCCATGTCTCAGCAGCTCACAGCCTGACTGGAATCAGGGGCTGTGCAGATTGTCCAAGTGCTGATCCAGATGCATTCTCTTGAGGTTTCTCAGTTTTGGCTTAAAAATAACAACACATTTTTGTGTAAAAAAAACAAGTCTTCTGTTCACTAGATGTTACAGACAAGGCCCGCATCCTCCACCACCTGAAGAAGATGACAAAGTCTGGGATCGTGTCTTTAATTCCGACAGAAGACATGTTTTATTGTCGATGGTAGAGACAGCACGAACAACACGAACAACAGAATGCAAGTGTATTATACAGAGCGGAGGCATGGAGACCTCCAATCAGCAGCTGCCACAGTGCCATGTAGCTTGGCCTTCAGATAGACAAAACAAGGGAAAAGTACAGGCTTCTGCACATTGATAGAATGATGAGTTTAATTTGAACAAAAGTTGCTTCAAAGTGTTATGAAATCTCACATATCCATGGAAATTGAATTTGGTATATCTAAACATGTTTTGTGTAGGTAATGGATATGTATGTGATTGGCTGAAAAATCACACTTTTGGTCTGTACTGTACATACATATATCCTTTGATGAGCACTTACACTTTCAACATGTCTTTTGTCCTATTAGATTTATTTAATTGATTTTGACATGACAAGCTATAATCAATCATGATGAAATATTTATCTGTTTGTGTGTGTGTGTGTGTGTGTGTGTGTGTAAACAGTTTGAGCATTTACAAAATCCGGGTCTACAGTGTGACCTGATCCATGTTGTGCAGCATGGATCAAGTTGTGCACCCCCTCAACCCTGATTAGCATTTGTATAGCTCACAGCATTGTCATTTACATGTTAAAGCCTCCTGTGGAGGAGGGAGGAGGGGACAACAAACTACCGTCAACAGCCGAATCCCAGAAGTTTCACAGTAATATACAGGGCAGAAAAGAGACAAAAATCACACTTTTCATGCAGTGATTGTTCTCAAATAAAAGATGACTTAAAGGAACAATATGTAAAAATCTGGCCAAAAGTGGTACTGCAGTCACAGTCAATAAATAAATAAAAGCAATGTAATTATACATAGTTTATGCAAAATAAATAAGCAATTGATGTCCAAAATAGGAGTGGGAAGAATGGATGTTGGAACGTATTTCTTCAGCGTATCAACATCAGGGTTTGCTCAAGAGGATATCACCTTTCAATTTTATTTATTCCCTATTTTTTAGACAAATATGTAAAAGTTCCACATCAAAAAGAGATTAACATTATTTTAATTGGGGTACATGTGGTCTTAAATGATTATTTTTACAATTAAGCTATAATCTGCAAAAAAACGTCTTGACCTTCATCTTTTACCGTTTTTAGAGCAATCTGTCATAGAATGTGATAACATGCAATAAATACAAAAAGACATAGCCCGGGATCAAACCCGGGTTCCTGCATCGTAAGCGCACAGTCTAGACCACTATACCACCGATTCACACGAACACAGACACTGTGAAGAACGGATTCAAAGTAGAAAATTCTGCATCACACGTGAACTTTTATCAGCTGTTGTGAGATTTCATAACACTTTGAAGCAACTTTTGTTAAAGTTAAACTCATCATTCTATCAATGTGCAGAAGCCTGTACTTTTCCCTTGTTTTGTCTATCTGAAGGCCAAGCTACAAGCACACCGTGGCAGCTGCTGATTGGAGGTCTCCATGCCTCCGCTCTATATAATACACTTGCATTCTCTTGTATCTGTGATCGTGTGTTTTGTTCGTGCTGTCTCTACCATCGACGATAAAACATGTCTTCTGTCGGAATTTAAGACACGATCCCAGACTATGTCATCTTCTTCACTGTCTCAATTGTTCAAAGGCATCCCGATATAAATCCTCGTTTTAGTCTTTGTTTTGTCATTAATGATTTGAGAGTCATAACAAGACCTTTTTTAGTTCTGCGCCACATGTGTGCGTCACTAGGCAAAACAGGTTTGCACGCAGTCTTATACCTGAGCGTTTAAGTCGCTGGCAGAGCTAAAGCGGACTTAACCTGCCACCTAGTGGCGATAGGATGTAATATGTTTCACGCAGCTGCGTGATTCATGAAAAGCGTGAATGAAGACGACAAAACGAAATGGGAGCTACTGTACTAAAAATTCATATTTAACAAAACAAATTCCTCATAGTCCCATATATAATTGTAAAAAGTGAAAACAAAACCATAGCGACAGATGGAAAAGATCAGCTAACACATTTTACACAAACATCTTCTGGTTTCCTTCTCCTTTCCTTTCCTTTAACTGAAGTAGCTTACACTCAAATATGTGGAAAATAAATTAAAAGTTCATGATTTAAATAAACCAATCAGATTAAAGTAAATTTTAGGTTAGCTTACTGTGGGGACGAAATACCAAGATTTTAGAGCGCTCCCATAAATTCAATGTCAGAACTTGATGTGTACCCATGGATGTATTTAACCATACAACAGGAAATCCATTATTCAACTGGGATCTATTTATGTCCCAAGTTTATTTCATTTTCAAAGAAAGAGGTGCACTCAAACCGAAGGTATACGTCGGCCTCTCTCCGGTCTACGCGTCTCGCCTCCTAAAGCCTGGACTCGGCTCGTGTTTGTCTTTGGTACACGATGCAGAGGCGGCTAATGGACTCAAAACACACACGCTTCGCCTTTATTCACCGACCAGAGTAAATATATAAAGAGCTAAGGATGTGCTTCTGCAAATACAGCGCAGGGAAGTGGAGAGGAATAAATACCACGCCATATCCCATTGGGTTTAGGGCCGTTGTCATAGTGATGGACAATTCAAAACGATAGAATGGGAAAAAAGGTCCTCAAAATGTTGCATGAGAGAGAAGGCTGAGAATCGTGAATAGACGGAAAAGCCATTGTGAGAAAAATGTCAAACTATTGAGCTCCAGCCGTTCCATCGACACAACAGATGAATACTTGAATACTAAACCATTACTCAATGTTGTTTATCGGGTTTTGGGGATATTCGAATATGCTCAGCAGTTGGAACGGATTAAGAATGAATCTATGTAAAATACTGTAATCAAAAATGTAGAAGGCTCGGTCCTCAGGGTTCAGAAGGCTCGGTCCTCAGAAGGCTCGGTCCTCAGGGTTCAGAAGGCTCGGTCCCAAGAAGGCTCGGTCCTCAGAAGGTTCGGTCCTCAGAAGGCTCGGTCCTCAGGGTTTAGAAGGCTCGGTTCTCAGAAGGCTCGTATCCTCAGGGTTCAGAAGGCCCGGTCCTAAGAAGGCTCGGTCCTCAGAAGGTTCGGTCCTAAGAAGGCTCGGTCCTCAGAAGGCTTGGTCCTCAGAAGGCTTGGTCCTCAGAAGGCTTGGTCCTCAGAAGGCTCGGTCCTCAGAAGGCTCGGTCCTCAGAAGGCTCGGTCCTCAGAAGGCTCGGTCCTCAGAAGGCTCGGTCCTCAGAAGGGCCGGTCTTCAGAAGGGCCGGTCCTCAGGGTTCAGAAGGCCCGGTCCTCAGGGTTCAGAAGGCTCGGTCCTCAGGGTTCAGAAGGCTCGGTCCTCAGGGTTCAGAAGGCTCCGTCCTCAGGGTTCAGAAGGCTCGGTCCTCAGGGTTCAGAGGGCTCGGTCCTCAGGGTTCAGAGGGCTCGGTCCTCAGGGTTCAGAGGGCTCGGTCCTCAGGGTTCAGAGGGCTCGGTCCTCGGGGTTCAGAGGGCTCGGTCCTCGGGGTTCAGAAGGCTCGGTCCTCAGGGTTCAGAAGGCTCGGTCCTCAGGGTTCAGAAGGCTCGGTCCTCAGGGTTCAGAAGGCTCGGTCCTCAGGGTTCAGAAGGCTCGGTCCTCAGGGTTCAGAGGGCTCGGTCCTCAGGGTTCAGAGGGCTCGGTCCTCAGGGTTCAGAAGGCCCAAATACATTTACTCGTCTGACTAACATCTTGAGAGCCGATTCTCGTGTTTCTCTGCAGCCAGAATCCAATGTTTTGTATTTTCGGGGGCATTGAGTTGCATTTCAACCTGTCACAACAATTCCACAATTAAACACATTGGTGGAGTGTTTTTGCAGAACTGTTACAGTGGATTGCCTCAGAAAGAAAGAAGACGCCGCGTCGCCATCTGACATCGATTTTAGAGAAATACCAAACGAGTGATGAAGAGCTCGAAGACCGCTGTGCATAAAACATTGCATTTCAGGAACATTTTAAGATTCACAAAGATAAATGAGATTAAACAATGAGAGTCACTGGGAACAAGTAAAGCTGCGGTGCCTAACTTGTCCAAACAGAGAGAGTAGAGTAAGATTCTGTGTGTACAAAAGTCGTCATATCAGAAAACATGTTATGCAAGTCTCAGTTTGACACTTTGGGCTGAGAAATTGTAACTTTTTGTCTGAAAAAGCTGATCTACAGATGTGACAGACGCCAGAAATATATTAGCAAATAGTTGGATTCAATTCTATTCAATGTTTTTTTGTTTAGCCCCAAATCACAACAGCAGTTGTCTCAGCGGAAAGATTTGGATTCCTCAACAACAGATCAGAAAAACAGTTAGAAAATGCAATAATAACAAACACATAGGAGACAATTGTTTTAGACCCTTGTGCACCGACAACAAACCACTGATTTGTGATTTTTTGTGTTTATGATGAAATGTCTGATACTGTAAATGTGCTGATGATGAAGGCAGAGGGATCAGCAGTAAAACACATTTAAATCTGTTTTGTAAAAGAGGCAGCAGAAAAACAAAAGAATGAAACTATTGTATCTGCTCCTTTCTGATCCAGGAAATATTTGAAGAATTGGACAAAAATAATGTGTAATGTAAGTTACTTGCATTTTCATGAAAAGAATAATATAATTTATACCTAGCCACCAAAAAAAAGTGGGGGAAAAAAAGAGAAACCTTGAGGAGACCCACATTGAGAGAGGAGGCAGGAGTGGGTATCAGCACTGCAACCACAACTGACTTTTGTTGTCCCGGGTCGACACAGTATTTCAATATGAGTAAGAAAAGATGTTAGCCTGGTCTTATCCATCCGTAAACTCTGGTCCATGATCATTTCCTACATGTACGTCTGGGTCTGGTCCTAGTGGCTGCTGTTACCTCGGTTGAATCCCCTCCAACCAATCAGAGAGCGGGGGAGGTGTCGGTGATGTCAAGAGTTTGCACCAAATTTGCGGGTTGTAGTTTTGCGGCGAATGCGATAGTAAAATAATCTGTTCTACTCCCCACGGGCTCTTTTAGCTGCAAAGGAGATGGCTAAAGCTAGGCTAGGCTAAATACTAAATGCCTCACTCACTCAATCGTTTCAATCAGCAAAAGGAGTTAACCCCTACCACCTGTTAACGAAGCTCAATGGAGCAAATCCTGACATTAGTACCAAATGAAATGTATACAATGGTGTGGTAAGACCAGGCTAGAAAAGACAGGACCACAGTGAGAAAAGTCCAGATTGTTTAACTCCTACTCCACCACCTCAACATTCTGCGATTGTTACATGATGTGACGTTCTTCAGCCAAAGTTCTTCAAAAGTTATTGAATAATCCCCAACAGTGGACTTTATCCACTCGGCTTGGATTAGACTCCAGGGCTCCGACTCTCATGTGTTTTCCAAAGAAACGTGGGTGTAACACAGACTGGACACGAGCTCAAATGGTGTAAGATTACAACCCTGGAATAACCTCCAATACAGGTGGATTTAGGGAGATTTATGGAGCGGAGCTAAGTGGCCAATATCCCGAAGAGAAAAGAGAAACAGTCAAAACAACGAGGTGCAGTCAGGCGAGGGTTTAGATTACAACTGTGGATGAAATGTAAGTGAGATGAATGCAGGTTATGAGGGCCAGTCGTCCGCTTTAACAGAGATATATGGAAGAGTAGAGTAAGGATTGTAATTACCCGAGATATTAACGGCTAAATCAATGCTTTCTTGGTAAATAAAACAGGAGGTGGAACTAGAATATGAATCAAGTCAATTTGTTTCAGTAATTTAACCTATAATGTGAAACTGACTTATTACATGCATAGAACATAATATTGTGTAAGCTAATTGGAACATAAGCTACCTGGTGTTAGCTTTGTGCCGGTTTACTTTTGAATGCGCTGTTTTGTGCTTTTGAATTGTTATTTTTCTTGCTTTTTTCTGCCTGAGATGTTGCTGCAGTACTGTTAATGGTTTTACACTGGTCCAGACCGGAACGGAGAGGATTCATGGTCTGAACCAAGCGGATCAGGCGAAAATCCACTGGAGGAATGCTAACTTTTTGAAAAATGCTAATGAAGCATTTAGCATTTGACTTTGGACTAGAGCAGAGAAAATGGTCAGAACCAAGAGGCTACTCCACCTCTGCTGCTGTGACCCATCCTGCTCCACCCAGAGGCTACTCCACCTCTGCTGCTGTGACCCGTCCTGCTCCACCCAGAGGCTACTCCACCTCTGCTGCTGTGACCCGTCCTGCTCCACCCAGAGGCTACTCCACCTCTGCTGCTGTGACCCGTCCTGCTCCACCCAGAGGCTACTCCATCTCTCCTGCTGTGACCCGTCCTGCTCCACCCAGATGCTACTCCACCTCTGCTGCTGTGACCCGTCCTGCTCCACCCAGAGGCTACTCCACCTCTGCTGCTGTGACCCGTCCTGCTCCACCCAGAGGCTACTCCACCTCTGCTGCTGTGGCCTGAGGCTGTTGCTGATTATAACTTTTTAGAATGATCAATATTATTTTTTATATTTGTTGCTACTGGACACCTGAATTTCTCCCACGGGGATCAATAAAGTATTTACCTAAAAGGGAAAGATGTGTTGCTAAGACAGTTGCTAAGGCAAGCTTGGGAATGGGAAACTTATAGTCAAGCTTTATATGGCTCTGATCTGGATTTAAAAAGACAATATAAAAAGGGAACACTGAACCAAAAACCCAAGAGGAGTAAACTTTTTAATGCAAGTCAACTGGAGCCAGAATGAGTTGGAAAAAAACTTTGTCCGTGACCACTTCCATATTGAGTTTCATTGAGCTAAGGGGGATACACATTGTCCATCTATATACAGTCTGTGAAAGGGACCGATGTCAAGCATGTTAAAATGACTCCATTTTCAACTATTCTAATTTTCATGTTTTATTTGAGCCGCAACCAATTATCAACATTAAAACAAACAAAAGGCTTGATATTTCTCACTCAGCGGATAATAACACTTCAATAAACGGTGTCAAAAGCCAGAACTGAACCTGGACTAAGGGCATCTGCAGATGTTTGAATGGGTGTTTTTGGTAAATGTCTCAGTCTCTAAACTGTACAATGAGTCAAAATCTTACTTCAAGTGGCATTAATATAAATGTATGAACCATATCTTTTTGTACCTCATAATTCTTTAATACTATGTAGTTTACAGATATACACAGGATAATCTCAGATGGGCTCAAAACCATTTAAAGACAAATGGATGCCTTCCAAAAAAATGTGATTGAACTTTGCGGACACAACAGTTACATTTAGGACATGTCGTGTTGGAGGCTTTGTGAATTGAAGAATTAACAGGACAGAAGATTATTTAGTGGTTAATGTTTGGGGATGTAACTAGAATCTATCTTTAATTATAGATTATACATTATGCAAAAAAAATATTCAATAACTGCAAACAAACTGGCTTTCTAGACGTAACACTTTGCGTCCACTGTAGCTGTTAGTAACACGCACGTGAACAGTAGTTTTAAGGATGTGTTTAAGTAGTGCGCCCCCCAATGGACAAACAAGGAACAAAACAAGAGTCGGAACATTAGGCAGTAGCGGCCGCGGACATTTCCGGACTTTTTTCTGTCATTGACCCAAATTAAATACTTAAGCACAGTTTCGTGTGGACTGAGCCTGATGCTAACCCTAACCCTGAGCAATTAAGGGTTAAATTCATCTAAACAAGAGTCAAATGTAAAATTATGAGCTGGTATGTTGTGGCAGGACAATCATTACAGAGACACACTTTTCATCCCTGCATTTTATATTTTGGCGCTATTGTGTCACATGACCAAGATGGAGGCAGAGAATCCGGTAATTTTTCAATATAAAGCATTGTTCGGACCCAAACTTTAAGAACGGAAAATAATGCAAGTTATTCATTCTTTCCTTGTGGCCCAATTCCAAATGACTGGCGGTTGGGGACCACTGAATTAGAAAAAGGACCAGGGGGGAAGAGTAGGGCACATGACAAGACAGAAAGACCGACTGCCACCACCTCCCAGGACTGTGATTTTGATTTTTTTTCTCTGGTCAAGAAGTAGCAGAAATCCACAATTCCTCCAGGAGTGGGCAATCGATTTCAAAGGAAGTCACTCAGTTTGTCAAATACGTCCAAACACAGACAGTTTGACAGTGTTCCATACATTTCTTCCATAGTTTTGTTAGATGACAAACAGCCTCCATATTGGTTATTATTACACTGCATTTACAGCCTGTCTGAAGGCACATTATAACCTGTACGCTGCTGTAACTAAGGCAGCATGAGTGGGCATTTGACATTCGACTTTCCCTATAGGCTTCTTATATACAGCAGAGTGCACTTAGATTGTGATAAATTACTGGAGAAAAGGGCAAGCGGTAAAATAAGGTGTAGTTTTGACATTAAGGGTTTTGCCTGGTAATAAAGTCACAGGTGTAGCAGCGTCTAAAACTGAAGTGAATTTTGGCCCAAAACATGAAAATAATAACGTCTACTAATATTTTTCAACCCCAAATATAAATGAATAGATTCACTTTTTTGGTGAACTTTGTGTGGATGGAACTGAAGGCACACATATACAGTATGTAGTAAGTAAGTAATGTTTATTGATATAGCACATTTCACAGACCAATGTACCCAAAGCACTTTACAATGTTCAGAGTTTGTTCCAATCACTGCACACGGTGATGACGTAATCGAGACGCTGAAGACAATGAACCATCAAAGCCCATCAAAGCTCATTACATTCAGACCTATTGTACATGTTTTTAGTGGTAGGGGAAGCTGGAGCACCTGGAGGAAACCTCTCCACTGTCTCTACCCTCTTTTCTCTCTCTACCGTCTCTACCCTCTCCAGTCTCTACCCTCTCCAGTCTCTACCCTCTCTCCAGTCTCTACCCTCTCTCCAGTCTCTACCCTCTCTCCAGTCTCTACCCTCTCTCCAGTCTCTACCCTCTCTCCAGTCTCTACCCTCTCTCCAGTCTCTACCCTCTCTCCAGTCTCTACCCTCTCTCCAGTCTCTCCCTCTCTCCAGTCCTCTACCCTCTCTCCAGTCTCTACCCTCTCTCCAGTCTCTACCCTCTCTCCAGTCTCTACCCTCTCTCCAGTCTCTACCCTCTCTCCAGTCTCTACCCTCTCTCCAGTCTCTACCCTCTCTCCAGTCTCTATCTTCTCTCTATAGTCTCTACTTTTTCTCTCTCTAGCCTCTACTCTCTCCTTCTCTACCGTCCTGGCCCGTACTCAGCCCTCTCACGGTGCACTCCTCTGCGTCCATAATGGATGCAGATCTCAGCCGCTGCATAGTAATGTGGGACAGAGGCACTAACCTTGCGGTCCTCTTTGAAGAGCTCCGCCGCGGTGGTGAAGTGGGGAACTGCGCTTTTACAGTGAGGACACCCTGCAAACACAAGAGCAAGATCAGACCACGGCTGAATACTAAACACTCTCTGTGCCCTGTGGGAGTGGTGTTCCAGCAAAACCAGCTCCTGTCAGCGCGAGAATATGGGAATAAAGAAGTCTGCGTGATTATTATTACTACTATATACTGTATCGGTCCACGGCAGGAGGAAAGTATAGGTTCAGCTTTGACATAAAGTTTATATTTTAGAGTATTTGACCTTGTTGTGGCTGTATGAGCGTCTGCAAGGAGCCTTAACTTTTGATTAGAGATACGTCGACAGTGTTTTAGGATCGGGTATGGATTGGGTTATAAATTCAATTTCAATTCAATTTATTCTTGTATCGCCCTAAATCCCAGCAGTAGTCATCTCATTAAAAGTATTGGGTTCTTCTATGCCAGACAATATAAGGTAATAACATCACAAAACCTTATATTTTCTGGTATAGAAGAACCCAATACTTTTAAATTCTACTAAGACAACAAGATGACTCGCAGTTTTCTCAGAGGACTTAAAAAAACCATAGAAATCGCCAACAACAGATCAGAGAATCAATCAGTTCAAACACAATACATATAGAACACATGGGTATTGGTTCAATACCCATGTGCCCAATGTCCATGAATGTTGATACATGTTAAAGTGTCCTGGATCACCACAGTCCGTGTTAGACACAACAGACCCTTCTGCATCAGAGGAAAAACTCTAAAACCCAGGATCAACTTGAAACAGTGACCCTGGACTGTTACGTGGCTTTGTCCCTAAAACTGGTGATTTCAGTCAAAGTTTTGAAGAACGAAACAAGCTAAAGGAAAAATAGTTTTGCTGATGAAAGTAGACAGTTAATTCTATCAAAATCAGGTCTCAGGTTTCACAAAGTCATAGCAAATAATATTCTGTAGGTCTTGAAAATTGGTGAGAATAATCAGATTCTGGGAGAGTCGAGTCAATGCAAGGGAAAGCACCCAAAAATAAACTTTTTTCATTTTTTTTTTTACACATAAGAAAGAAACAGACCAGAGTCACAAAGCGTTTTACAATTGTCGGAGGCATTTGTCTCAGTCTACACAGAGAGCGGGGTTGCCAGCACAGGAGGCGCTGAAAGGCCCTGCTCTGACCAGGATTTGAACTCAAGACCTTTTTGCTGAGAAGCGAGAAAGCTAACCACTCAGCCACCGTGTCGCAAAAGAAAGTTAAAAGGAAGTTGCATTATGGCCCTTTAATTAAAGCTGAGGCACCAGACTTTCAAACTACATCATATAAACATGAAATAATTTTTTTCCCCTTATTTCAGACAGAAGAGTGAAAAAGAGCCCTCCCCACCCTCACTCTGCCCAAAGCATCAAATAGTGACTCACAGGGCTTTTTCTATATGAGCCCTGTGAGTCACATGTTAACAATAAGCATGTACAGTTTTAACGGTTTCATACATGAAGCTGGCAGAGATCTCATTCATGATCACTACTTTAATCTGTTATTGTTAGTCAGGGGTCTCCAACCTTCTTCAATCAGAGAGCTACTTTCATGCACAAAGACGCAGAGAGCTACTCATTTTTGCAGTTGTAATAAAAAATTCTATGTAATAATTATGACAAAACAGAACACATTTATACCATGATACTGTAAAACCCTATATTTATACTTATAATAGATATGTGATGATGCTAAATGTATTCTTTAAATGTATTTGTTAAATTCTAAATCCTTTGTGGAGCTACCTTAAAGGAAGGTTGGAGACCCCCGTTGTAAGTTCTCCAAGTTTCTCGAGTTGACTGACTCGCACAAATACATATATATAATGTTTTGAGTGGGATGGAAGTGGATCAGCTGGAGTTGGAACTGACAAACTCATGTTGTCAAGGTCAGAAATGTTTTCCACAAAACATCACACAGACGCCCTTCTCCCGATCCACCGAGGGGAGAGCGGAGCAGCTGAAAGTTACTGAGGGGTTAGGGATCATATTAGAAGGAGATGTCAGTAACTCATTTTAAATCCATTAGTTTAGATCCTGAAAGTCAGTTATTATGGGATTTCTTATACAAAACCAAAACAAAGCGCGAGCAAACTTAAAATACTTTACAGAATGAATTTAAAATGTGTTTAAAGTCAGAATTATCAGCATTTAAAAGAAGCTATACCCATTTTTTTTTCTATCGAATTAATAAAAATCTGTATATCTACATACAAGTTGTATTAAAAATTGTAATTTAATTGAAAACTGGAGCTCATTCATTCAGCATAAGCCTGAGTTTAGGCCATAAAAAGTGCTCTCCTCCAATCACAGAACGAGGCTGCGTCCTCTAGCCCAGTGGTTCCCAAAGTGGGGGTCCCGACCCCCCGGGGGGCGGGGTCCCGGAAACACCTGGGGGGGGGTCGCAAGTTGATTTCCGAAAAAAACAAAAAAAAACATTTGAGCAAATATATAGCCCTTAAATATTTTGCATTTGATTTGATTCAAAAGGACTACTTGTTAAATAGTATTTGGAGAATATAATATATTTCAATTACGTTTGTAATTATGTCCCAGTCATTGACAGCATCCACTGGGTTTTTTAAGAGTTTTTCCTTGTCGATGCAGGAGGGTCTTGTTGGACAGTTAGTGTCCAACAGAAAGGATTGGTGATGATCAGGACACTTTAGCATTCTACAACATGTATGGACATTTTCTTCTGTGGGTGCTTTATATTTTTCATGTGTTTTAACTGTTGATTCTCTGACCTGTGTTGGTGATTTCAATGGTTTTGTTAAGTCCTCTGAGATGACTTCTGTTGTGACCTAGGGCTATACAAGAATAAATTGTATTGTATTGTATTGTAGCATCAATCATGCGCAGCGACAAAGCGTGTCCTGTTGTTGTTTGCTAAAACTAAAGGGGTTTGGAGGCTACAAACAAATAATACCTGCTTTAAAATGAAACGTGGTTAATATCCACAACAGAAAAACACGGAGGGGGAGAAAAGTCATATGTGTCAGAGGTCAGGCTGATGATGCGAAGAGAGGGAGAGAAGGCAGCGGAGAACACCGCGGTAAAGAGGCCCGGCTTTTCGGAGTCAAAGGTAAAGAGGTCCACACATTAAAAGCGGGTGGCCGGTTTATGCTGTTACTTACAGTAACTTTGGAAAGAGAAGCCGCGGGGATGAACCGCATTAAGTAACAGCAGAAAGCGGCCGCCCGCTTTTAATGTGCGGACCTTTATACCACTGACTCCGAAAAGCCGGGTCTCTTTACCGCGGCCGGAGAACAGTGAGAGCGAGCCGCAAGAAATGCGCTCCACTTCTGCTGAGGAGGGAGCCCACCAAGCCCATCACTGTGTCACTACGTGAGTAAAAATACACAAGCCTCCTTTTTTGGGCTGGACAGTGCAGCTCAGTAGTGGCGCGAGTCTCTGCGTTACTCTGTATCAAGACAATACATGCTCATTGACGGGAAGGACTGTTGAGGTGGGGGGTCGCGGGGGAGCAGGGCATTTATGATGGGGGTCACAGGATAAAAACTTTGGGAACCCCTGCTCTAGCCTCTACAGCGCTGCTAAACACAGTAGCATGTTAGCATAAGTGGCTATAACTCCTCTGGCTGTAACTGCAGACTCAGCAAAACAGCCCAAACCACACAACAGTGAGGAAGAGAAGAGGAACTAAAGCCAAAACATGATCAAAGAAGAAACCAAGCCCTGAACAGAGCTAGCTTACATCGTATCCTCTGGAGAGACTGGTCTATGGGAGAGACCTGCGGGACCGCCTCGGACTATCTACGCTCGGACTATCTACGCTCGGACTATCTACGCTCGGACTATCTACGCTCGGACTATCTACGCTCGGACTATCTACGGACATACAGTGCCTTGCGAAAGTATTCGGCCCCCCCCGTGTGTGACTTCCGGTAAGCAGTACTGCAGGGCTGCTCTGTGCACCTTTTTAGTAAACTTTTAACAACTTTTTAGCGCGTTTTTATTGTTCAGTTTTTTAATATATCTGAGTGTTTTATGTTATTAATTCAGTGGTTTCAGCAAATAGCGCTTAGTCCCGACTGAAACCCACTAGTAGCACAGAGGCTAACACAAGCTAACGAGGACATGGAAAGTGACAATGAAATTGGCTCAAACATGCACAATATTAGTCGCCTCACCTTGGAGCTCCGTGAGAGCGACCGTGCCACCATTGCAGAACTACGAAAAGAAGTCCTTCGTCTCACCGCAGAGTTGAATGAGAAACAATCTCTAGTGTCCAAACTTTTTGAAGTCGCTGGTGGGCAGCATTCACGGCTTATGTCACTGAGTGCTGCATATTGTGACACTGTCGTGTGGGAGAGATCCGTCAGCTCCGGACCCTCCTGTTCTACGCCTAAGCGCCCGGTTCCGAACAACGAGCCCGCGGATTCCGAGGAGCCATCCTGCGCCGTGGCCCATGTCCTGAGTCTGGCAAACCGCTATGCAGCCCTCTCCACTGACATCCCGGCCCCCTCAGCAGAATCCCTGGACACTGCAGCGTACTCTACTGCTCGAGGATCCAAGTCCACTGCGAGGAAAACGCTCCTAAAGGAAGCAGTCCTCAGGCGAAAGAGCGGTCCACCAGCCATGTTGGCCTGTTCCCCTTCTTTGACCCCAGTGCAGCAGCCTCAGACTGGGGTAGCGAGCCATCATTACCACCGCTCACCTCCACCGGGTCAGCAGCAGCGCCCAGAGCCAGCCCCTCTCACCGCTCCAGCGTCCCCGAGCACACAGCGTGGGTCGCCTGTAGCTGAGAGCAGCACCCCCGCTCCTCCTCTCCATGTGTTCAGCGGCGCTCAGGCTCGGGTCCTGCTTCGGGTGAACCCGCTGGTTCCGTCCACCGAGCTCCTTCTCCGAGGCCACTCTTCGCCCCGACCACTCTGATTATTGGAGATTCCATCGTGAGACACGTCCGCTTCTTCAACGCGGTCACTCGCTGTATTCCCGGAGCTACTGTACCAGACCTGCTCATCCGTCTCCCTCCTCTGCTTCAGTCCCTGCCTGATACCGTTTCCAAGGTAGTCGTGCATGTGGGAATTAACGACATGAAACTTCAGCAGTCAGAAGTCACTAAGAAACATTTTATGGATCTGTTCCACCTCCTTCAATCCTCCGGATTATCTGTTTTTATCTCTGGTCCAATCCCGACTGTAAACAGAGGTGACTGCCTCTACAGTCGTGTTGTGGCGCTGCATATGTGGATCCAGGCTACATGCAGCTCTTTTAACTTTGTCTTTGTGAATAACTTTTCCCTTTTCTGGAAACGTTACGAAGCCTATCGTCCAGACGGATTACACCCAAACAGATACGGTAGCAGCCTGTTGATGGGCTACATGCGTTACGTTGTTCAGCGTTCCCCGAGGGGGGCGTGACTGTTTACATCTGAGCCCCCTCGGACCCCACCGCACTCCCCCGCCTCCTGCTCACCAGCACCGGGTGAGTACAACGGTGCAAACACTGCTCCCTGTCCGTCTGGCAGTGCATTACCAGTCCAAACACTGAACTGTGCTGACTCCCTTCTGACTCTGGGAGCTAAAGAACAACAAGGGTTTTCACATTTTAGTCCAATTGAGACTGTGTGTGTTCCTCGCACCAGCTCAAAAATGTTTTTAAATTCTAAAAAACGAAATCAAAACAGGACAGCAGTTAGACGGTCCAACTCTGCAAATCTAATTTCTGTTCCCTGTAGAAATCAATCAACCACATTAATCGACTCTGACGTTATTTTTAAACTTGCTATGCTTAATGTCAGATCTCTATGTAACAAATCATTTTTAATTAATAATTTTCTCACTTCTTATGATCTTGATTTTATGCTTATGGCTGAAACATGGCTGGACCAAAATACAGGAAATGCAGTTCTAATAGAAGCAACACCACCCAATTTTAAATTCGAATCCGAAGTACGAGAAAACAAAAGGGGGGGAGGCATAGCTGCAGTTTTTAGAGAGCACTTTGTCTCCCATAGAATGCCCCTTGGAAATTTTTCATCGTTTGAGTATATTTCTTTTAAAATGGAACAAAAGCAATCTTCTACTCTTTTCATTGTCCTGTACAGGCCACCACAGTCATGTTGCGATTTTATTGACCATTTTACTGAACTACTTTCATTCGTGTGCACAGATTTTGATAGTTTAGTTATTACAGGTGATTTTAATGTACATGTTGATAATGTTGATGACAGAAATGCAAAGGAGCTGGCTTCTGTACTTGAGACCTTTGGTTTCATTCAGCACGTGAGTGGCCCCACCCACAGCAGGGGGCACACTCTTGACCTGCTAATTACAAAGGGGGTTAATGTATCAAATGTTAATGTAGTTGATGTTGCTTTGTCAGATCATTTCTGTGTATTTTTTGACATGTGTTTTGCTAGCAAACCACCAGCTGAATTTACAATTGTTAGAAGAAGACACATACATGAAAACACAGGTGAACTGTTCATGGGAATGCTAAATTTTGAGAAAACTCCATGCTCTACTGTTGATGAATTGTATAACTCTGTCACCACCAGTGTTCTGACTGTTCTGGACGCCATTGCTCCTGTGACGGTTAAAATAGTTACCAGTAAGAAAAAGGCCCCATGGACTAAGGCAGACTCGGTCAGGGCACAGAAGCAAGAGTGCCGGAGGGCCGAACGGAAGTGGCGAAAGTCCAATTTCCAGGGCGATTATGAAATCTTTAAAGATGAGTTGGGTGAATTTAACCGGGTTCTACGAAGAACAAGAGAAATGTATTTTTCTGACATTATTGGAGGTTGCAGTAACAATTTTCGTGTTATGTTTTCAACAGTTGGTAGATTAACGAACCCCCCTGTAAAGTTGCCCCTAGAATTTTCCTCTAAATCTAGGTGTAATGAGTTCGCACAGTTTTTCGATGACAAAGTACAAGGAATCAAAAACACTATCACCTCCACAGCACGTATAACAATGCAACAGCCAGAGAAGCTTTTTGAGCTAACTCACTTTGCACCTGTG